CATTAGGTTCACGATGGAAATGGAAGAGAATAAGTCCTTAACTTTTCTGGATGTTTTCATCATTAGAGAAGAGGATAGGTTAGGAAGAGATGATTATAGGAAGCCAACATATATTGGCTCCTTAATTTTCTTTCCAACCATAGTTACAAGACTAAGGTTAGAATTTTAAAGTCAATGATTCTTAGAAGTATGAGGCTAGCAGATAGCAAAAATTTACTAAAGAGTTACAACGGCTGATAAATATATTTTTTTGAAAATAACTATCCTTTGGGCCTTAAGGAGAATAATATCTCTACTGAGGAATAAATTTTTAGACTGAGACCTTTTCTCATGCCATAATTTTGCCGTCATGCTTATTATCAAAAAAGATAGGCGAATTAGTAAAGAAGTGGGGCATAAAAACAATGTTTAAAGAAACCCTCACTTGCTTCTGTTATGCCATTCTTTAGAGAGAAATATGACCCATTATCGAGATCCGGCTGCTACAAGCTTGTTTGCTCATGTGTTTGATGTTATGTTGGCGAGACATGCCGACCTATTCGACAAAAATTGGGCGAACACAAAAATGCTTTGAAAGGAAGCTGGATCTAACGGTCTGAAGTGGCCGAACATATGGTAGAAACTGGACATGAAATATAATGGTCTCAAACTAGTAAGTTTGCTGATTATGGTACGTCTGGGGTTAAAAGGAAGATAAGGGAGGCTATTGAAATTAGTAGCTTAGGAAATACGTTGAATATGAGGAACGGTGGAAGAAAATTGAGTAGGAACTACTTATGCTTGATTGATAGATTGAAGGAAGGAGAGGGTGTTGAGCCGCCGTCCAACAGAAGTCGACTCAATTTGTCTGCTCGGTGATGGTTCTAACTTCACTCACACTCGTCCAACATGTTAGAGTAAGCTCATCAACCAAACCAGACATGTCAGATTACGCAACCCCAGTCTTGCCTTTCCTTAAGGGATTAAATGTTAATGACCCTAGATTGAAAAGTTAGGACAAGTCTTTTCGTGACTTGATTTTTATGCTTACAAGCTCATATCTCATATCAACCATACTTGCTTACGGACTTACGCAGCCTCGGTCAAGGCTTTTTCTTGGGTCATTAGGTCCTAAGGATCAGAACCTGAGAATAAACCTTTGAAAACTCTGATTTAGTATTGGTATTGCATATAGACGCTAACACGCGCATACACTCGGGCAAAAGTGACAGGACCAGAATGAAAGATAATAAACCAAACCACTCTATATCGATCTATCTAGGTTTTTAATTTTCTTTTGGCTCAATTTAGTCTATATAAGAAGTAACATAGAGCCGGATAGTGTTCTTTCCCTATTTTTAACGTGAGACTTTTACAAGAATGGCGCCCAGTTCTGATGATGTCCATGATATGATGGACGAAAGCTTAGCACGTTTTCACTCGAAACGATGGAGTAAGTCTTTTCGACTGCGTCAACATCAATATCGTATAAAAGGCAAACGGCTGTAGTATAATGAGCTTTATCCGTCCTCATTTGGTGATGTCGACTAACGAATCTTTTCTTCATTCACTTATACGAATTAAAAGTCCCCCTAACAAGTCATAATTGCATCCACCACATTATAAATGTATTGGAGGAGTTCCTGAATAATTTCATACTTAACTGTTGAAATATGATCGAATAACCGTACTTTGTTATTTTTACTTTCAGTTCTTTTAAATGCAATTCATGAATTCGGTCATCTGGCTCAATATTCTGTGATCTACACTGGTGTACCCCTACTTATTGATAGCTTTGCATTTTCCCCAGAACAGGTCATTGATAGTGTTGATGTAAGTTACTTTTTATTTTTACATACCACGAATTTTTACTACTAAGACTGCCTTTTCATATAGTGAAGAGCTTTTTAAGTATAATTCTTATTCGGCGAGGGCGTTATTTTATCATCTGTTTTATCATTTTATCCATTATCTACTTAATATGCTATTTATTTTTTTAGTCCGGATTTTATTCTTTATATTCCGCCACATAGCACCTAGTAGATTAATAATTTTGTTTAATACTGGTTGAAGATGCCAAGCATTTTTGGTGCACCTGATAGATTTCGATACCTATGGCATCTCTTATATATCACCTGTTCGTCTAGATAGTCTGTCTTTGTTAAATATCGCTTTTGTTTTTCTGCTTTTTGCTGCTTATTCAAAAACTGAATTATTACTCATGTTAATCCTACGACTGCTCCATTAAACCTTATACCTAGCTCTTTCTTATACTATGCGAACGTTCAGTCGAACTTTGTGTAGAAAGGTGTTATGTCAGGACGGAGTTAAAATCGGGTTCTTTTCGGCTTGTGCTTCTAAGTAATCACGTTTCATTACCAACTGCTACTATTCTCTCTATTTCATCCTCTGTTTGCCTCATTTTGTTCCTAGGCTTCTTTAAAACCCATCTCCGCTCTAGGTGCTGTCTTTCATCAGCTGCAGCTAAGCTCCTCCGATACGGACAGTTCCGCCCTGTCAACATCGTCCTCATCTTCGTCGGAGAGTGATTTGAGCGGTACAAATGGTGATTCGTTTCCTTTTAACGAGGTAGAACGCTCTAGACGAAAGTTGTACTCTCTTATTCCAGGCAATTTGAGTGCAGCCAACGATTTAGCTACTCGCATCTTGGCCAAATATCCTGATATTTTTCCGCTTGAATTTTCCCTGAAAACATCTATTCTGGTAAGTCTTCCTTAATTTATATTTCACATCTACCACAAGACAAACTATGACAAAAAACTAGAGACATTCTCATGGTTGGTGGTGGGCAGAAATGTTTATAGTTAACTCGTAATCTTTGCTTTGTACTTTGTTCCTATCTTTATTCTTTACCTATTTTATTTAATACTCTTGGCAGCATTGATTATTTGACCGATGGATTCTTATTATTTATTTTGGTCAATTTAATTCTAGATCGAGTCAAATGGAGATCATGTTATTTATTCCGATAGATTGCTCGACGCCATATTGTTCCTATTTTTCTCATTTCGTTAAGAAATTATTAGCTCTTGCTCTATTTCAAACACTTGATATTTATTTTTTCACTTAATAGTTCAATTCGGAATTAAAGTTTTGGGGCTATCTTCAATATCGTATCACGAAATTCTCTATTTCGTAAATTAATTTGCCCGAAAAAGGATTGATGAAGAGTTTTGTATGTCTGACTAACTAATGGTTGTCCTTCGGAAGCTTATTAGCATAATTACTCATTATTGATTCCTTGATTTGATATTTGCTTGTCATAATACCTACGGAGTTTTTTGCACCATAACTATTAGTTTATATTTGAATATATTCTTTTAAGCTTTATACGATTTTTTATTACAATTCTTAATTGGTTTCTTTAAATACTTACGCCTGTATCTCATCTTTGGAATCTAACTTGGAACCAAGTTTCAAATCAAAATGGTGCCCTTTTTGATAACCCCTGATTACCCTATGAAAGTGGCTCTAATTACTTGATGATGCCAAATAATCCTTTAGGCTCATCGACGCCAATACAAATATTTACTTGCTAGGCATGCCATACCTCAATACTGTAGTTCAATGGATTACTCATGAACCTAAATTACGATTAATACTTCTGTTACCATTAATTCCAGGTACCTACTTTTATTTTGGCTTAACTATCCACTATTGCTTGCTACTTTCCCAGCTCCGCCCTATTTATCTGTCCTATGAGGTGTCTGATGCAACTTCAATATCTTCTACGCTCGCTCTCCTAAAACGTCTGCTAACATCGCGTTGTCTTGAGGCTAGTTGTCAGAACTGGATTCGACATTGCGTATTCGAATATGCAGGGCCTCAGAAGCATTCTGAGATAGCTGCTTTTGTTGATGGCTGCATTATAAATGCAAGTTCAATTTTTTGGGGCGTAATGATAGCCTTTGCCTGCTTACGCATGCTAATTGGCGTCATCACGACTACTATCAATAAATCTCTTGAATATCCTAGTAGCATTATGCTCCATTGTCTTTTGCTATATATATATATTTATTTATTTGGAGGCCTGAATTTTTATTATATTGAGATTATTTTGAACTGGCTCCAATAATTTGACTAGTTACAGTTTTAGAGCCCCGTATTATTTAAACTCCAGGCTTCATTTTTGAAGCGATAGTTCACCATCAGGCAAAGGAGTCATGTAAAAATTATTCAGTGGGTTTATGGCGCTGCTAAACTCTTATCAAAGCTAAGTCATGAGATGAAGGATCGAGAAAGACTGGGCAAATTCTAGAGTATGGAAACGGAGATCAGGGTTTACTGGAAAATTATTTTTTGTATAAAAGAAGGTAGTGACGTCAGATGAAATCATTTAGTCATCAAATAATCCCATGAGACGTTTCTGTCGGAGAGAGCATTACTCTCATACTTCCAGGTTGGGCATAAAAGGCTTTCAGTTAATGGAAGATCACCACGCAGCATTGCCCAGTCCTTGAGGCTCTTTTTCGATCTACCCATTGACCACGGGTTGGTAGATGGAAGGGCATAATATTCAATGTATATTATTCAAATAAGAATAACAAATTATGAATCAGCATTGTGTAAGCAAAATAGTGTTAAATACCCATTACGTTTAGTTTATTGATCGATATCCACATTATTAAACCCGCAGGTAAATGGGCTTCGAATGCTCGTATAGGCCCATCACGTCGGAGCTATAGTGGATTTGCTTCGATAATGAGACTTAATATAAAAATAAATTGCGTTTATTCATATATATATGTATATATATATATATATGAGTAACGTTACCATAGTATATTTTTGCCTGTCACAAACTTATGAATCCTTCCATACTGTCATGGGTAGTACTCAACTTGGTTGATTCCTTAAATAAATCGTATCACAATGCCAGTACCAACATTGAGTTATTCTCAACATAACAGTTTTATTTAAAAGCCCTTATATAGATACTGGATGTTTTTTAATGTAATATTTCAAACTATAATCTACCATATTTAATTCATACAGGAAATAAAATTGTCTCCTTCTGCTCAACTCGCTAAAACTATGGTGAAATCTGGAATTTCACAGGTAATTCAATTCAGACTTTTGAATATTTTTTGTGGATCCACACTTCTGTTCCCTGGACCCCTAGCTTAACCTGATTGTTAATATTCATCCATATCTCCCATTTTCCATCGAACAACATTGTTTTAATATGTCACATTGCAAAGTTTTTATCAATTATGATTATGCAGCAATTTCTGTGGAAAACTGGATATGTTTTGGTGGCCAACTAATTGTCTTTAAAGGAGCTCATCTTGTTTTCTCTTGAAAAATTATGCCCTATCAATTGCCATCTTTCAATATTTTTCACCATAAATTTGGCTCCTTGTAGATTGCAAACTATTCCTTCTCATAGTTAGGACCATTAGCTCATAAAAACTAAATCGAGAGGTTTATTTTTGTGTCAATATTATGTTTTGCTTATGCTTAGTATTTATTTCCATTATATCGCTGAAGTGAGTTTGTAGTGAATTATCTATTAGTTTTGTTACGTTGTATGCACAGTTATCTCACAACACTCAATTTACATGAATATCTCCCATTCGGACTCCACCATGCTTACCAAACAAGGTTTTAAGCACCAGGAGCTCCTGAGACTATGACTACATCCGGGCATTCTGATTTCTTTACTGCAACTGATTCCCTAATTCTACGCAGCATATGTGCACGCCAACATCTTGCGTTCCCGCTTTTATTTGAATCTTTTTACACTTATCGTTTTTCAACTCATTCCATTCTACACAAGTTACTTTATGATTTGGTATATTTATTCTGATCAATTTGGATAGTGGCTGAACGCATCCTAGAAGTCATATCACATAAACAAAGGTATGAAGACCAAGATGGTGTGGTTTTTGGTATGGTCATGGCCTCCTTTCGTTGTATATAGGTTGTTCGAACTTGTTTTCGCAACTTGGTCATATTGGCAGGAAGACCTAGTAGAATGCACATCGTCCGGAGTCCATAGCATGCATGATAATCTCCAGAGTTAGTTCATGGACTTGATACATTTCAAGACGTTTCGCCGGCATCTTAAGTGAGCCTTGCCATTTTTAGCATCACGCTACAACTCTTCAGAGACAAATGAAGACGATTCTTTGACCAATTGTCTGCTAAACCGTTGTAGTATCTCTACTGTCCTGGGGTATTCACCTATCATATATCTTCGCATCACCCTCTCAATATTACAATTTATTACTTGTTTTTCTAAACCTATTTGAAACCTATTCACACTACCCTCTGGTTTCCAAATCCCTCTCTGTGCCGGTAGTGTTGAATCAAGGCTGTGGTTTAATCCGTACTCCTTTCCCTTCGTATCCTATCAGAGTCTCTCATGTTCC